TCTATACCTCATAATGACAAAGCAAAAAAGATATTTGTGATTCATTTAGGAAATGTATTAAAAAGAAAAAAAAATGAAATGTTACATTGACATAAGTATTCAGATGCTTCTTGAATTTTAGATCATGTGCATGTTGAGAAAACAAGCTTACCTCATTTTTTTACATTTTTTTTCACAAACATTTCTCTCTTTTTATAAGATTTTAAATTAGATGTGTAGTCTTTTGCAATTGTTAGGAAGTGTGGAGTTTACTCCGAGTTTGTAGCACACAGTAATGTTTTTGCCATATATCACCTTAAAAGTGCAATGATTTCTGTAAATCCAGTGGTCCAATGCTGTGCGGCCACTATATTTTCTGTGTAATTATAATCACCTGACTAGTAAATAGCTTGTGCAATTCCATTAAACTGGAAGACTTGTTGAACATGCATAAAAGCAATAGACCGTTTTAGAAAAGAAAATTCAAAAGAGATAAAAAGAAGAATGAAGGAGAATCAATAAATAATGGAGAATCTACTGTTATTGTGTGCATATGCAATCATAAAATCATTAAAAAAGTAACTGTAGTCTGATTATGAGTATTTAAAAAAAGTAATTAGTCTAATTACAAGTACTTCATTTTTGGAATCTGATTACATAATCCAGATTATATAACCAGTTATTCTAACACTCGGTACAATATTGTCTTACTTTACTAGGCCTTCTTGAGTTATTCCGTTTTTTTTTTTTTAAAGGTTGGTCTTTTGTAATTTAGCTATTTTCAGTCATTTATTCAATAAAGAAACTTCTTGTCACGGTATTTTTATTACTAAATCCATATTCTCTGCTCATCCATTTGACTTTGAAATCAGATTTGACAGATGCAGAGATTTTAACAGAGGCAGAACGTTCAAGAGTCCAGAGACGACGACGACAGACTGAGACGAGTCAACAAGGATCAAATACATGTAATTATTGACTCCTAAATTCTAATATAAATCCAAATGACAGTTAGGATTCCTAATTCCATACCCCCACACACACATTATACATACATACATACATACATATATATATATATAGAGAGAGAGATACAATTTGATAGTGTTGCATAGAAAAGATATCTGCATAATTAATGCAACAATTTGATTGTTTTGTGCATCTGTTATAGTGCCTCGCTGTAATGAAATCATGTACATGTTTGGAGCAGTTGGTCTTGTTTTGTTGAACTCTGTTACACTGACAGCAGAACTGATCCTGAAAGCACGTAAGTGGAAATCTATAATTTCTGCAAATAATAATATGTTTGTATTTCCATATTTGTATATATGCATTTGTGTATGTGTGTATAGCCGTTTATAGATATTTTAGAAATCTTTTAACATCACACCATTTTATATAATGCTAAAAATTAACAGAGCACAGCAGGGTTACATTTTACAAATGCTGAAGATTGCTTTACCATTTTGCTTTCAAATGTCCTGTGCTTCTTTCTCTTCTTTGTTATTCTTTTCATTCTTAGGGAATGGTGAGCGTGTCATGAGGGATATGAGAGTCATTGTCTTCCCTTCTGAAAGTGTTTTTGTCTTGTATTGGCTGATTTTACAAATGCATGCTTTCTGTAAGTATCTTTATTTTTTATTTATTTTTGTTTACTTTTGCTCTGTGATAATAAAGGCAAACGTGTCAGTATAGTGACACAGATTAAAGATGAAAGATTAAAATCTATCAAATTTCCCAGCAGTGAACTTTACAAATAGTGACTCAAACTCGGGAACATTAGTATGATTTGTATACGTGAGGTTTTTAGGAAAAATTGGTCAAAAGCCATCGAATCTGTTCAAAATACTTACAGAATCTGATTTATTTGCTACGATTCTGATTTTATTCAATAATTTGATTCAATCGATTATTAACATTTGAAACAACTTTCTCTCTAATGCCTCCTGTCACATAGTGAGGATTGTTACAGCTGGGTAAGTTCAGATTTGTATTCAACACAGTATGTACTGTATGTGTATGTATGCAGTACATTCAACTGTGTATGTATCCATGTTTAATCTGTAATTCTGTTTTCAAATACAGATCTACACACAATCAAAGGAACTTACATCAAAGAGGTCAACTCGGGGTAATGTAATAATTATATATGATGTATCAGCTGATCTGCAATATCAGCTTTGACGTCTTAGCTTGGAGTACTGATTTGTACCAAACAACGTCTTGTTTTAAACACAGAATACACCAGAGACTCGTGAAATGGAGAATCTGTCTGCAGCTGATCCTGATGTTTCACAGACAAAGACATGAGAAACAGTCTTTCACATTTATCCTGTACTCTGACTGTCTGCAAAAGAGTTCCTCTTGAGTAAAAACCAACAAGCTGAGACTGAAAACTAAGTTGTAAAGCAGAGAGTCTAGTGATATTCTGTTACAGATAACAAATGGATAATTTTGTATTGGTTGCCAAATGATTTCAAAAGTAAAACATGCTGTTTTCAATCATCTCTTTTCCTTCCCTCTCTCCAAACAACGGCTAAAAACATGTCTACAATCATATCAAGTTAGTATTTTATTTAATGTAAATCATATTTAATAAATCGACCTGGAATATAAGGAGAATTCTTAGTTATTAAACTTGAAAATGTTGTTCATGTTTTGATGGTGATATAAAGTTGTTTGTTATTTTAATGTAAAAGGATGCTACAATAAAAACCTGTTAATTGATGCATTTTAAGTTCCTATATAGAAAAATAGAAAATAATTATAAAAAAAATATAGAAGTAGAATAAATATATGAGTAATATGAATAGAAAATATAGAAAATACACTCTGGAACCAAAGTGAAGTGACTCCATGATAACACTGATTGGCTGATGACGCCACAAGAACACACATGCTGCATCCAAATATGTCTATCTGTACTATATAGTAGGCAAAAAACAGTATGCAAAATATACCTGGATGACCTTCTATTTCAAGATCCTGAAGTGCATATTCAGAGGACACTTTACTATCCCATGAGGCCACAGGAAAGGATTTGTGAATGACAGTGACTGGCATGGATGTAGTGTGTCCAAATTTTATTCATACTACACATATTCATACTATATAGAACATACTTTTTAGTAGTCACAATTAAGTGTCAAACGAGAAGTATTACCTACTAGACAGAATGTGATCTGTGATGCAGCTCAAACTTTCATTGGAGACTGTCCTGATCTGTGATGTCAAAAGCAGCAGAAATTATAGATATTTATATAAAACTTATTTTTACACATCTACTTTTGAATGGTTTTTTTAAGATATGTCTTGTCCCAAACCCAGAAAGGGTCTGATGAAACTCCAGCCAGTGGACCAAAGGAAAAAACAGCAGAATTACATGAAATGAATGCTCTACTGAATCAAGATCTGGAGGCTGGTAGGAGTGACAAGAGAGAGGAAACTCAGCTTGATTCAGTGGAAACACAAACATGAAAAACAATGATAGAAAAAGACACTTTATCCAATGAGTGTTTGTTCAAACTCTCACCAGTCCTGACAGTGATCAAACACACCTCAGTGTTGTTCTTCACTGTAATCCAAATGGGTTTCTACTGTGAGCTCTTTTCAAAAGTCATTTTTTGTTTTTTGTAAATGGCTGTAATTATATGTAAGATGTTTAACTGTGGCACAAAACGTTATTTACACTGTTTAATTCAGGAGATTAAGCGAATAAAGACAGATAACCATATCATCATGGTTGCACAGGAGTTTAAAGTGTTTGAATTATTAATTTTCTTTATCAATAGCTGCTGCTTGTCTCATATTATTAGCCCATTTAGAGACACAAACAGAACTGAAGTTCAGTTCATGCACTAATGGAGAGCAGATGTGTTTTTTTTTTTTTTTTTACAGTGTGTTGGCTGATCAGAGACCAGCTGTATAGAGATCAGGTCAGCTCTTGTCTTCATGTGATTCCATAAAAACATAACAAGGTTCAAATTTATTACCCTCAATAATGTAATCTATGGGCTCCAGTGCAAAAACACTTTCAGTAGCAGAAACATTTGGTGCCTCCAAACATCCTTAAACATATTCATGATATAAAGAAGAGGCCACCATTGGGCATGTTGGACAACAGTGCTGAAGAGTCATCAGGATGAGATGGTTGCATTTAAAGTGTTGGTGAGTAAAAGCCACATTAGGTCTGGCAGAAAAATTATTTCATTAAAGTACCTGAAGTTTTGTGCTGATATTTTCCTTATTGTCTTTCAAAGCCTTTATCAGGACCAAATCAGTCCATATCTGCAGTGTGTGGGTGAGGACCTCACTGTGAACTGTAAACAAACAACTGGGTGAGTAACAGAATGATGGAGGTTAATTGACATGAAAATGAGCACACGCATACAAAATGTTTTAAGGTTATTTTCTTTTTATTCTTGTGGTACGAAACAAGACCCAAACATAATTTTTGAGAGATTCGCTATAAATATAAACATCGTGGCATGATTTCACAGACAAGGCTTAAACTAAGCCAGAATTAGGCCATAGTTCAATTAGGACACTTAAGTATTTTTTTATAAACATGCCTTGTAAAAAACATTACTGGTGTGTATTTAGAGACAAAACAAGGGCACTGACATATTTTTAGATCAATCAGTGCAAGTTTATTTCAGTTGAAACGGTTCACTAGAGCTGGCTTCACCAGAGATGGTTGGCTCCCCTCACATTTGTCACGGGGTGAGTCACCTGTGGTCTCAACAAGAGCAAAAAGTGCTATTGGTCTTATTTTAACTTTAACTTATTAAGTACAAGAACGATTGTTGAGCAGGTCCATCAAACATTTTTGAAAAGTTACAGATCTGGTGAGTGTTTCCCAAAAGCATTAGCTAACCATGGTCACACGTTCTGTTGAATATTGGTAACAACGGAAGCTGCTTTTGGGAAACGCACCCCAGAAACATTCATGAAAATGGCTAAAAAGAATTGACATTTATTTTGTAAAACATGTCAAGCAAACATTTTTTAAATGACGCATAGCGCGCTATTTGCAATTGATAGTCTTACTGTTTACAATGCTCGACGACGACACGTGTGGGATCTTCTTGGAATCCGAATCCAAAGAAGAATTGCATTCTGTCTTTGTCAGTCATGTGCATTTATTATGTGTGACGTCACAGAGGCACCATTTTGAAAGAAATGAAAGTATACAGAGAACTGTATACTTTCAAAATAAGTTCACAATGAAAAAAAATCATTAGTTTATGTTAAATAATATGCCTTTATTTCATTCCACATGCCTATAAAGAATTCATTTCTAGTAAGTATAAAACACAACAGTCAGTTTTTACAGGGGATGTACCACAATATGCCAGTACTGCCACTCCCTATACGCAGATTACTCAGTTTGTGTAGGGCACCAACTTCCAGGGGGCACCATCTCTGTTGCTCAAAAACCCCCAAAAAACAACAACTTTCATTCCATATAAATATTAACATAAACACAAGTGTAAATGTAAACATAAATATAAAAAAAGCATCTTATGTTGAAAACATTAAGCTCAAAAAGGCACATTCCCACTTCCACCACACCCCTCGGGAAAAGACAACAGCAGTCTGGTGCTGAGAACCCCCCAATTGTATTTATTTTTTTTAATTACTATTCATCACTTACAGGTATGCTTACAAATGTGTGAAACTTTATATTTTTGGCTATTGAAGTTAATGTGTGATGGCAGATATTGATAATTTAGATATTATCAATGACTACTTTGTCTTTATCTGTTTTTGTTTAGTTGTTTTGTTGATTTTATGTGTCTGTTTTTCTCATTATTATTTCAGTCAAACCTATAAACCCCTTTGTTACCCCAAACTACATTAAAAAGCTTGATCAGGCAAATAAAAGTAATCAGACTCCAGCTACTTATTCCTTTGTTACTCATTGATGCGTGAACTTCCCCTTTAATAGACGCAACGCTATGCCCTCTATGTGTACGACTCTGCTCCCATTAAGCGCTGTTAGAAGTGAATGAATGAATTCAGCATTTCAACACTTCCGTAAGGATGCATTAAATTCAACAAAGCGGTTTAATAAAGGATGTATTGATCTTGTGAATTGGCAAATTTTACTATACCAATATTTTAAAATTAGCTGTTCATCTGTTAGTTTTATATGTGAATATTACACACTGATCCTTTAACAATGCATTGGCGCAAAAACACGCAGCTTTTGGACCAATTATGCAGCATGATTTCTCGACTGCCACAAATACTGCCTTAACAAATTACTAATTTTGTGCACTTTTTACTGTACCAATATTTTAAATTGGCCTTTGAACTTAGGCCACTTTTTTTTGCATGGCCAATGATGCCCAATGATGTTGGGGGACCCAGTGAGGGTGGCAATCATATTTCAGGTTGGCCGTGCCACTCTATAGCTGTGTCTCATTTAGAAGGCTGCGTCCTCTGGATGCCGCATCCTCTGAAGGATGTGTATACGGAGTGTCCTCAACCCAGAATTAAACAAGACGGCCTTCGTAGGATGGGCGGAAAAGGAAACAGGAAGTATCATGTTGCTATGCCAACACATTTATAGCGTTGTTGTGCTCTCACGCTAGTTAAATGTACAATACCAGAGGGTTAAACTAATTAATAATTTTTCGCCTTGCTAGTAAAGTACTACTCTCAACATTTAAATATCACTAAACACTTGTAATCCTGTTTACCACATCTACCAACTGAGGTAATACAACTTGAAAAACTTGAAAATTCTTACATTTAAACACCACATCTTCGCTTGTGTGAAACATTACATCTGCCGGCGCCGCCATTTTTTTTTTTTCAAATAAACGATGGTTGTTTACGGCGACGCAAAGAATTGTGGGTTATGTGTAGCAGCGAAGGATACACCTCATGCAACTTCTGAATTCCTGTGAAAGAAGATCGCATTCGAAGGTTGCATTCGGAGTGTCCTTCTTGCTTTTCTGAAATGAGACAGC